ACGTAGTGCCTTCCAGCTATTCGTTCACCCTTCGACTATTCTTTGAAATGCGAACTATTAACGAGTCCCAGCAGTATAAGCAGAATGTGACTTGGCATACATGCGAAAATTTATTTCGTTTTCAAGAATTGTAACTGTTTTGAAATGCTTCTTGAATATGTAAACAGTTTTTCATGGGGCGTGAACCGCCGTGGATATTACCAATATTCAATGCTTTCAAGTAGAGCGCATGAATGAAACACGCTACATTTAACAAGAACTGGAACGCAGGTCAACCATTTTAAAATCTTTAGTTAGCATTAAGACGTGTGACGTAATTAATTTTTACCAGACAACAAAGTCACAAGACATAAGACAAGAACAGTACAACATTTTTCAATTCTGCCTTTACGACCTCAGGCGATTATACACTTGGCATATGAGACGGGAAAAGGCCGAGTCTCCAAACGAGACAACAAAAGGATGGAGTCAAATTCGCCATCCATTTACCACGCATTAATATCCCTCATTATTTCGCCAGCTCATAAAATGACGAAGCTCTCTCTTTCTCATCCGTCCACGCAATCAAATCGACAGAGGAAGGCGGGCCCGGCCCGGCCCCTGCCGCGCCGGCGCCGACCGGGCATTTGCAATGGAGCCTTCTTTCTTCGGTCCACGAGCGGCGAACGCGGGCACCTCGGGCGAGAGCGACGCCGCGGGGCCATGGGGGCGCGGAGGCGGGCGATGCGCCGGGGTCGTTGCGCGTCAGCTGCGCAAATGGAATCTGTATACACCCAGTATTCATTATACGCTCCAGCCAGAAAACAAACGCGGGCGTTTTCGACTGGCCGGCCAAACACGAAAAAAAAAGCAGCCGGCAAGCATCGGGGGGTGGTGTGTCGGGGGGGCCTTATGGGGGGGGTGCGGTTGTGTGTGCTGATTTTCAAAGACCGCGGGCGCTTTAACATGTTAAATAATGCCCCACTTGCTAATACAAGCACCACGCGTAGAGGACGAGCGGGGAGGGAGCGAGCGTGGAATGGTGTGGTTGCCGCGAAAGGGAAGGGGGGGGCGCGGAGGGTGAATATGGAGAGGTGGAGTGAGGAGCGGCGGATCCTGGCGAGAGGATGACGCGCGAGTAGACTCAGGGAGGAGGATTGAGTGGTCGTGGCGCATGATGGATGTTGGTGCTGGGAAGGTAGATAGGACGCGATGCGCTGGCCAGAGAGGAGAAAGGGTAGGCGTGTGGAGAAGGAGCAGCAAGGAGGCGGTCCACGGCCACGCTGCGCATCGGCCACCGGCCCGGGCGCTGCGGCTCGGACCGCGCGAAACAGGCAAAAGGCGAGTGGAGGATTATTTCTGGTCTTATAATTAATATAGATTAATGCCTCCGTTCACTCATTACTCACTTGTGAGCAAGAGGGCGCCGGGCGAGGGCGGGTGACGGCGCGCGGGGACGGAGGGGGGGGGGGAGAAACGCGATCTTCGCCCGCGGGAGGCCAACGCGGCGCGTCTTGCCGCCGGCCAACGCCAGTACGTCACTGACGAAAATAACAGTTGCGCCGCGCTACAGCGAGCGCGCGCGTGTACCCACTCACGATATATATTAACCATGTGATTCTTTACTGCGGACGAGCTACGTTTCCTTGTCGCGTTTATTAGTATTGGCATGTTGCAGTAGATCAACCGTGGTCTACTCATACTTAGTATATAAATGTAGACGCGAAGACAGGAGTAAATGTCTAAGTGTCGTTAATCAAATAACAGACTTCACTACTTTTTCCAAGAAACCTCAGACCCAAAACAACTTACTGAATAAGATCGTGTATAACTTCTTACTAGGTGTTGTGATATACAGAGAAATGTGTTTATTTTACACTTCTAAAATGTTTTCTATTTTA